GAAACAAGGTCTTTGCAAATAGGGAAGGGTGGAGGGGGTGAAGGGAGGGCAAGGGAAGGGGAAAAAAATAAGAACCAAGATACTCATGTAAAGGTACAAGATCCCATTGATGAATGTAATTGTATTTTATACCAAAAATGTACCAATAAACTTAATAGGAAAAAAACAAGAAAAAAGAAAAAGAAAGAAAGTCTGATTTGGTTTTCACAAAAAAGTAAAAGGGTATGGAAAAAGGAAACTAAGTGAACTAGAAAAAGGTGAAGTGAGAAAAGGAAAAATTTTCTAAATTCAACTCTAGGAATTAAAGCTGAGAAGAGGGCATGTGTTTTGAGGCCCAACTGAAAAAGGAAATCAGAAATATCAGAATACCTTTGGAAGCCTTAGATTTTGGAAGTTAAATTTCAATATTTTTTATGCTCCATTTCCTGCTTAATGATTACTTATATAAGCCTTGAGAAACAGACTATCTATGCTGATTGTGGGAAGACAGCTAACAAAATGAATAAATAAAAAATGTTATTCTTGCATTTTGGTTGGTCTTTGGGGACATGAAACCAAGGGTAAAGTAGGTGGTAGCAAGTTTGAAAAAGAAAGGAGTTCCTAAAACCAAGAAAATCTATCAAACTGAAGAATATGAAGAATAAAAGAAAACATGTTAGGGACTAAAAAGTAACTCAGGGACCTTAGCAGCCAATGTCATTTTTTGTTTTTTGGTAAAGAGACAACACTCCAGAAAAATCTCAGATACATATTAAGCAATGTTCCTTTTTTTCTTTCTACATTATAATCTCTAATACTACTAGTATCATAATAAATTCATATTTTTATCATTTTATACTTTTTATTTGTTTGCTGGGGATCGAACCCAAGGCTTTGCACATGCTAAGTACATACTGTACTACTGAGCTCTATCCCTAGTCCACCTTTAAAATTTTTAAACACATCTTGTTTCACTTCATCATCAATACAATATTCTAAGCAGCACTGGTATTACTATGCTCATCTCATTATATAAATAAGAAAATGGATGTTAGGAAAGATTAGGCATCATGTGCACTATCACATAGCTAGCAAATGGCCTCCCAGATACAATTATTTGGGGTTTTGGTCATTTATTACTTTATATTGTTACTTAACACTTTTGGGGATGTACCTTGCCCTGTTTACTCGACTGCACATTTCTGTCTGTTAGCTCCACCTCTTATACCCTGGTGGGCTGGGGATTTAGCTCAGTGGTTTTGCCGCCTGCTGCGCAAGCGCAAGGACTCAAGTTCAATCCCTGGTACCAAAAAAAAAAAAAAAAAAAAGCTATAATACCCTGGTATAGAATACAAAGAGTGAT